TATCTTTGGTGTCTTCTACACACATTGTGAACAGTGGATATGCACAATGTCATTACAGACACGAGTTTAGGTTGTAAGTAAAAAAAAAAGGAAAACAAATGGCTTAGGGACCTTATGATGGAGGGCTTAAGGGCTACTAATTATTATTTACTTCTTAGTTGGATTTCTTATTTAAATTTAAAAAAATTAAAAAACATGTCTATTCTTACCTGGTCCATCAAAGGGCAGCAAAACTGATGGCACGCGACTGTGTGACGCCAAAGGAATGAGATACATGTCCTTAATATGAGGGTTATGATTGGCTACCACACCGCAGCGGCTGCGACTGTTCAGGTATGAGTAAAACTGGACGTAACTGTTCTTTTCCTCTTCATTTGGTGGCTCTAGGCGTATAATGATAATGTCCTGTAACGAAGAAAAAAACATTGTGAATGTCATGTTGGGTGTTGATATGAAATGTGACAGTTGAGCTTAGTTAAACAATGTTAATCAAGTTCTTCAATCTAATACTGGAATTGAGATCTGTCCGACTGACTATGTAAACTACCTGAGGTCTCTGAGACAGAGATGTAATGCTGAAAGCTAGTCCACTAATGGTAGATCCAGAATTAAGTGTATGATGATGGAGTCCATAAGGGAAAATATTGTAAATGTCATGGCATGTTGTTGATATGAAATGTGATAGTTGAGCTAGGAAAAGCAATGTTGTGAAACCATTGTGCTTGTTGTAAGTCAGACCAATCAAGACAAAGTTTGAGAGCTGCAAAAATATAAGAGACTGAAGCCAACTACTCCATTTCCTTCTTTTACTAAAATAATCATTAATTTTTACAAAATGGAGAGGAGAGATGGAGATGTTAGCTGTCACAGTTGCATTCATGGTGATACTCATCCAACAAAGAGTAAAATGGAATGAAATAATAAAAAAAAAACATCTATTACTTAATTCTACCATATTTGAATTCTTCATATTCATATTCATAAAAAGGATGTTCAAAGAGCAGTAGTCTTACAATATAATTTTGTGCACATGAAACAAGATTTTATTAACTGCATTCCATTGGACAACAAGGAAAATATTCCATTAGTACTTGAGATTTATTGACTTTTCTATTTATAGCAGCCAATTTCTTCAAAGTGGATCTGACATGAGATTTGTTTAATGAGTCGAATAATCACCACTGAGACTTTCTTGTCAAAATTCTCTTTAACTTGTGAGACTCCACGGTGTAGCTAATCTGTTTTCTTTAAGCCCATAAAATAAAACAATATTATTTGAACTGTGTGAAAATATGATATCATGTAATTACTCCTCATCCTCATCACAAAACCTTCTCAAATGAAGCTACTTAATTCAATGAACCCAATTCTACTGAGAACATAGCTTGAAAATAGGTGCTTCTAGTTTTGGTCAACACAAATGAACAAGAAAAAAAAAAAAATGATCATATTAAACCAACCTGCTTGTGAAACTAATAAGTGACTTCTAATATCTAAGAAGGCGTTGAAATAGAATGTTCAGCCCACCCATCAATTACGACTAATTGACCAAAAGACCACGGAAGACCACACAATTATCCAGGGCCCCCATCAGCTAATGATGCTGCAAAGGTACAGTTCACATCAGGTTAGCCTTAAAATTTTTTCACAAAACAATACAGCTGTACTGGTGTAAACTTCGCAAAAAAAGCATCTTGACAGTGTGGTAATCATATAAGGGCTACAGGGGGTTCATGCACTAGAGGCTGCCTAAGAGCCTAATTAATTTTAATTGGTATTTATAAAGTGATACTGTTCTATTGTGATCAAGAGAGTACATGCCAGGTAGAACAGAGATAAAAAGCTGTTCTGTCCCTGACTGTGTCACATTATATTCTTTTGTCACTAACTGTGTCACATTATATTCTTTTGTCAGTCACTGTGTCACAATATATTTTGTCACTAAATGTGTCACAACATATTCCTTTTTCACTGTGTCACAATATATTCTTTTGTCACTATGTCACAATATATTCTTTTGTCACTAACTATGTCAATATATAATTTTTTGTCACTCACTGTGTCACAATATATAAAGAGACTGATGAAGATGGCGATGGCATGTTGAAATATTTTACCCAAGATATAAATTTTCTGTTTGTGACAAAAGCACTATTGATGTCCATTACTCATGAAACTTTCAAAAGAATGGGGAGGTGTGGGGAGAGGGGGTGGGGGATGGGTGGGGAGAGGGGGTGGGGGAGGTGTGGGGAGAGGGG